GCGGCGGCGGCGGCGGCTGCTGGGGCGCCGGCGGCGGCTGGGGAGGCGGCGGCGACGCGGTCTGCACCGACCAGGGGGTGCCGAAGCCGGGCAGCGGCGGCGGCGACGCGGAGCCGCCTCCCCCTCCGCCGCCGGGGGGTCCCCCGCCCCCGCCGCCGCCCGGGTGCGGCAGGTCCGGGCTCTGCAGGCTGCTGAAGGCGCCGGTGCCGAGCGCCGCGCCGGGCAGGAGGGTGCTGGGGCTGTTGAGCAGAGGGTGGTGGTTGGGCGACTCCATGGAGCCCGGCGCGGGGTTCACCGGCGGCGTCGAGGGGGGCAAGCCCGCATTGGGGGGCTCGGCGGCGCTGCCCTCGCCCGCGGCCGGGGTCTGGCGAGGGCTTCCCGCGCCTCCGTGGCGGCGCCGCCGGGCTGCGGGCGGCGACGGCGGGAGCTGCGGGAGCGGGGGCGGGTCGGCCGGGCGCTGCCGCGGGGCGAAGTCCTGCGGCGGGAGGTGCTGCGTGTGCGGGAGGCTGAACGGCTGCGGGCGCTGGGCGAGCGGCGCCGACTGCAGGAGCGGCCCGGGCGTTGGCGGCGGCGTTGGCGGCGGGCTGAAGCGGCCGGGGCAGTGGAGCGGCGGCGGCGGCGGCGGCTTCGCGTCCGGAGGGTGGGGACGGTGTGGCGGGCTCGACTCTTTCCTCTTCTGGCTGCTCAGCTGCTGCTGCTGCCGCTTACTGAAGTCCTGCGGGGAGGAGGTGCGGCAGCAGCAGCAGGAGGAGGCGGAGGAGGAGGAGGGGTGGTGCAGACTCGGTTTGAAGTCCTGGGAGGGGAGGAGGTGGGTCACACCCGCGTTCGTGCCGCCGCCGGGGTGGTGGCTGGGGAGCTGCTCCGCGGCCGCCGCCCCCGAGAGCGGCCTCGCCGGCGGCTGGGTCAGCCCGAGCAGCAGCTCATCCTGCACGGCCTGCTGGTGCGCCGCGAGCGGGGAGGAAGAGGAAGCTGCGGCCGAGCCGGCCGCGCCGCCGCCCGAGGGGATGGCGAAGGGGGAGGCGGCCTCCGCGAAGCCGGTGACAGGCAACGGCGGCGGCGACAGCGGCCCGAAGGGCGTGGCGGGCGGCCCGGCGGCGAAGGGACGGTAGGCGCCGCCGCCGCCGCCGGGCGAGGACCGGGGGCTGCCACCGCGGAGCAGGGCGGTGTGCAGCACCCCGAACCCGAAGTCCCGCATCTATCAGGCCGGCGGCCGCGGCGGGAGACGCACCCCGTCCCCTGCCCCGCCTAGAAAGCCCCGGGAGCCGCGGCGGCGCGGCCGTGGTGGAAGGAGGGGGTCAATGGGGAAGGGACACTGTGACTGAGCCGGGGCGCCGACTTCGGCCCCGCCGCCCCTCTCGGAGGCCACCGCCGCCTCCCGGAACCGGCTCCGGCACCACCGCCGCTGCCTCGGCCGCCGCCGCCCTCGCCGCTTAAGAACCCCGGAACGTGCGTCAGCGGCGACCTCACAATCGCCCCGCCCCCGGCCGCGCGCCAGGGC